CACCACCTGGGACGAACGTCGTCAGTGGCCGATGGCTCTACAAGGTGAAGCGACCGCCTGGATCACCACCTGTGTTCAAGGCGCGCTATGTGGCGAGAGGCTTCAGTCAGCGAGAGGGGGTGGACTTCTTCCAGACCTTCGCTCCCACCCCGAAGATGAGTACTCTTCGGGTGTTGCTGCATATTGCATATACCTGGGACTCAACATACTCGACGGAGAAAACGCGATCTATGTCAGCGCCGCAAAATACGCCGACACCATCGCAAAACGCTTTGGGTTAACGCCAGCCGCCATCTCCACGCCCTATCGCTACACCGCGGGAAATCACCAGGGAGAATCTAATCCGCTTGGACCTGCCGGCCTATGCGACTACCTGCGGAAACTGGGATGCTTGCTCTTCGCAGCCGTCACCTGTCGACCGGACCTGTCATACTCGGCGAGCCAACTCGCTACCTATCTCAAAAGGCCTGAAGAAGAGCACATGGCGGAACTCAATCGAGCACTGCACTACCTCGTCAGCACATCAGCAACCGGCCTGAACTATCACAAAACTACAACTACGACTCCAAGGCTAATCGGCTATGTAGGTGCCGACCACGTAGGCGACTCCAACAACAGACGATCACGCACCGGCTACATCTATCGACTTGAGCCCGTCGGTCCTATCTCATGGCAGTCAAGCAAGAAAGAGTTAATTGCTCTCTCTTCTGCCAAAACAGAATACATCGCACTCTGCACAGCCACCAAGGAAAGCTGGCACAGTTACCCAGCTTCTCCCTCTTCTGCGACAACCAATCGGCAATTCGCATAGTGAACAAGAACGGGTTCGCAAACCGAACGAAGCACATCGCCCTGCGATACTTCTTGTGAAAGACGAGATCGAGAAAGGAAGACTCGAACTGTCCTACTGCCCCACGTCCGAGATGGCAGCAAATTACTTGACCAAGAAACTCGGAAAGCAGAAGTTCGAGTACTGCATGCTGCTGACTGGACAAGGCCACGTCACCAGTAATGAAGGCGACGACACTCAAGAAGCAAAGGGGAGTGTTGGAAACATATAGTTCACACTTCTGATGTGTCGAGCACTATAACAAGAACAAAGCAGACTCACAGCGAAGCAACACCAAGTCAACTAAGCTACAGCGAAGCGGTTGACAAAAGCGACAACAGCAAGAAGTTGGAGCGAAGGTCAAAGGTCAGCGACCTTTGACTTGACGAAGCAGCACGACAGCAAGGACAAATAACTGACTCGCTATTGAGCAGTTACCCTGTATCTCTATGCTATAATCAACTCATCTTGTTCTCACATACCAGTGCAAGGTGGTTCAACCAGTCTCTTTAAGACGCTTCCGCTAATATATCATCACTCTGAGCCTTAGTCATTGAAACGATCCTAAGGGCTTTCTCAGCCCAACACCTCTTACCGCTTCCAGCTCCTGTTGCTGCCTCCCTGGCTGACCCCTCCTCTGGACCAGTCGTCGCACAAAGTTCTACTTCACTCATGTGTCTGGCTGTCCCCTCTGGCTCGCATGTCTACACATCCCCTCGTTCTCCAAGAACTTGGTAGGTGTCACTATAGCAGCCCTCGTCGCCGTCGCAGCTGGTCACTGTAGACGCTGGGGGTGTTGTCGCTGAGAGTGCAGGTTTTGAAGGTGCTACCGCTGTGGGTGCTGGCTCTGGGGGTGCAAGTCAAAGCGGTGCTGCTTTTGAAGGTGCTGGTTCAGGGGTTGCTCTGATGGGATTGCTGGTTTAGGGGTTGCTGCTACTGGGAGTGCTGGTTCTGGGGGTGCCGCTCGAGCAGGACATCCGGTGTCACAGTAGCCGCAGCCGTTGCCGCAGCAGAAGCAACCGCAGCAGCCGTCGTCACCACCTATGTCAGCACTTCGCCTTCTTGGTATTTCTTGTCGAACAATATATTTATATATATTGTTATTGACTGCCTGTAGAAATAGTGAGTACTGTAGTTCTTATATGAAATTGCTTGGTGCTGTGCGACATTGTTTCCCTATTTGTACCTTGCTCAATAGTGAACTCAGCTCTTTTTTTGGCTAACCTTCCTACTCTCGATACCAAAACCCTAGCTATGGCTCCTAAGTTCTAAGCCTATGCTAGCTGTTTTTAACATTTCTCACCCCTCGCCTGAACGACCGACCACCTGTTCCCCCCTCACCGTCTCTCCCAGTCTAGGGTCCCACGTTTCCTCCCCAACCTCGTCCTTAGCCCGTCTTCCTCCTCGTTCACAGCTTTCTACTCCTGATCTTCTGACTCGACTCCAGACTCCCCATCTCATAAACTAGTTAACTTAGGCAACTAAGATAGGTAGGGAGAATGATGCTCTACTAGGGAAAAGGGGGGATACAAGAACAATGTCGAGAGTTTGACACGTATCCCTTCAGATGCAACTCACTACAACCTACTCAATATATATAAACATAGTTTGACACACCCCCATAGCTTGAATGGGGGGCATCAAAACGAGCAAGACAAGCAAGTGGTCACAAGACCAGTCAAGAGAAGCAACACAACAAAACTTAGGGTGGATCACGAAGTCACCACACAGTCTGAGCACAAGCAAGAGGCCATAAAGCCAGTACAAGACAAGTACAGCAATAAACAAGTGGTACGAGTACAGCAAGCGAGGGCCTACCTCAACAAGGCCTAACTGTAGACATAATATGTGGTGATTACCAAGCGAAGGGCCTTGGTGAAGATGTCTGCAGTGTTGGCCGCTGAGGCCACAAATTCCAAACGTGCCTGCCAACGTCACTACAGCTCTCGTAGTAGATAGTACCTCACATTGATTTGCTTCACTCTGCTGTCCAGTCGAGGCTCTCGATATAGGAGGTTCATGGCCTTGTTGTCAGCCAACAAGGTCGGTGCAGAGATCGGCCACTCACCAAGGTCGGTGAGCAAGAAGGCCAACTAGTGAAGCTCCTGCGTAGCCATGGCACTGGCATAGATCTGGGCCTCAGCACTAGACTGTGCAACAGACGACGGCCGAGTAAACCTCCAGACACAGCATCAGAGCCCAAGATGAAGCAGTAACCCCTGAGTAGTCTTCTGAGTCTCCACGTCGTCAGCGTAGGAAGAGCCGCAGTGATCGGTCAGCACAACTGGCTGTGTCCCTCTAAGCACAAGCCCCATGCCTGATGTAGTCGCCAAGTGTTGTGTGATGCTATCATTTCCATTCAAGTCTGTCTGCCTCCCATCCCATGTTCGTACATTGCATGCGCTGTGTGCGCGTGTGCAAGAAGTTGTGTTTGGTGTTGTTTGGACTTTGTGAGTGTGTGTGAATTTGTTTTTGCTTGAGCAGACATGTGAAATGACTTCTCTGTTCAAGAGCTTTTCGACGAACCAAGAATCGTCGCGATCGGAGCAACAACGACAAAGTTGTGACCGTTCGAAGTTATGGTTTTGGTTTCGGCAACTATGAGAATTTGTGGGGTGACTCTATATGGGGTATAGACCATTAGGGGTTGGGGAAATTCGTCACTTCACTGTGGTTGCTGCCAAACCAGGTTGGCAAGTGTGGCCAATTGAGGTGGGATGGATAGCATGGGTTGGGAAAATGACAAGGGCGAAAGTTGGGTTCCTATCGGGAGGGGTTGCTCTAAGTTCCTATTGGGTTCCTACTGGGTTAGCATCAACAGATGCTATCCACCCCATAAGCACATCAATTCCCCTCCCTATAGGAACCCAACTATCATTGATGCTAACGAAATTTCTGTTCAGAAACTTAGTCCAACGATTTTGAGTTATTTCGACCCCTAATCTTCCTAGACTCCTTCCTTAATCCTAACACCAAGTACTTAGCTACCCTCACAGCTGCCATCCAGTGAGCAGGACGGTGTCTCCCGGTCGCAACAAAACAAGCCAAGATGCTTAGAAGATAAGGGAGGTCCAGATGAATACATGTCATCAGGTACATGAGGCAACCCACTAGCTTTCCGCAGGGACCACTAGACCCAAACGGCTTATCAGGAACAGGAGCGGTGAGCACGTGGTCAACAATAAGAGGAGCGGGCTGTGCGTTAGAGAACTGAAACCCGAACCGCTCAAGAACCTACTCCACCATGTGTGACTGAGTAAGTGTGATGGTGCGAGCGGCTCGGTCCCTGGTGATATGCAAGCCAAACCCTAGAGTAGTGTACCCCCTAAAGGCTAACCCACTGTAGCCTACACAACTATAACATATATAATGTTTGACACACCCCCATATGCTAAGTGGGGGAGAGCAAGGGGTCACAAGACCAGTCAAAGCAAAGCAAAGCAAAGCAAGCTCACGGTGGATCTCAAGGATACCACACAAATTCCGAGCACAAGCAAGCGGTCACAAGACCAGTTCACATGCAGTTTGATAATATAACAAGAGGTACAGTGATCACAACCTAGCAAGTGTAAGCATGCAGGTATATATATAGAGATCACAGTACAAGCAGAATCAAGAAGTGAGCAAGTGAGGGACAGTAGGCACAAGGCCTAGAACAGTACAGAAACGCTGATGATCACAAGGCTGAAGCGCCTTGGTGAACACATCAGCAGTGTTGGCCCGAGTGGCCACGTAAGCAAGACGAAGCTGACCACGCTGCTGCAACTCTCGAGCAAGGAAGTAGCGCAGAGCGATGTGCTTCGTTCTGTGCTCCAGTCTGTGCTCCTGACACAAGGCAGGGGCGGCCTTGTTGTCGACGTACAGCGCTGGAGGAGAACGAGGCCGCTCTCCCAGGTCGGTCAGCAGGTAGGTGAGCCAGCGTAACTCCTGTGCAGCCATGGCTGTGGCGTAGATCTCAGCCTCACAACTGGAGCTGAGAACTGAAGACGAGTGTGTAGAACGCCAAGAAACTGAACCAGAGCCAAGGCTGAAGGTGTAACCCTGAGACGACCGCTGCGTAGCCTGGTCGTCAGCCCAAGAAGCGTCTGAGTGTCCAGTGAGGACAACGTCGCTCCGTCCTCCAAGCACAAGCCCCATGCCCGACGTACTGCACAAGTAGCGCAACACCCTCTTAGCGGCATCCATGTGCTCCTTCCGGTGACGGCCAGGAGCGACATAGCGTGCTAGGATGCTAAGAGGGTATGCAAGGTCAGGTCGAGTGCAGGTCATCAGGTACATGAGGCAGCCCACAAGCTCTGGATACGGGCCACTCGGCTCTACGGACTCATCCGAAGGCAGAGCTGAGAGCGAGTGACCGGTAGGCAGAGGAGTGGGCTGAGGCGAGGAGTACGTGAAGCGGAAGCGCTGAAGGACCTGCTGCACCATGTGTGACTGAGTCAAGGTGATGGTGCGCTGTGCTCTGTCCCGGGTGATCCGCAAGCCAAGATAGCTTGTCAGCTCACCCAGGTCTGTGCACGTGTGTCTCTTCTGGAGCTCCGACTTAACGTGGGCGAGTGCCTCAGTGTCAGCAGTAGCAAAGACCAAGTCGTCTACGTACACGAGAACGTAGAACGGCGGCAGAGTGGTGTCGGTGCGTAGAAACAGCGACGGGTCAGCAGTAGAAGTAGCAAACCCAAGAGCAGCAAGAGTAGTCCTCAGTGTGTCGTGCCACTCACGGGGTGCCTGGCGGAGACCGTAGACTGGCCGCCGGAGGCTCCACTGGGTACTAGGAGGGAACGACCCAGTGAAGCCAGGTGGGCGGCGCAGCCAGATCTCCTCGTGCAGGCTGCCCTGTAGGAACGCAGTGCTGAAGTCAAGAGAGTGGAGCTCGTAGTCACGCTGAGCGGCGACGTGCAGCAGAACCGGAAGAGTAGTCATCTTCGGGGTCGGGGAGAAGGTCTGGAAGAAGTCAACTCCCTCTCGCTGACTGAAGACTCGTGCAACGTAACGCGCCTTGAAGACAGGCGGAGAATCCGGCGGCCGCTTCACCCTGAAAATCCACATGCCACTGACGATGTTCGCCCCAGGTGGGGGAACCTCGTCGACGTAGGTGCCTGTGGACTTCCAGGAAGCCATCTCTGCGTCCATGGCTGTCTGCCACTGAGAGGAGTAGGGACCCTCCATCGCCTCTGCGTAAGAGCGTGGGGTCGGGATGTCTGGTGCATCCGGGTCTCCCTCAGGGGCAATCAGCATGGACACGAGATGAGGTAAAGCAGCAGCAAAGCACTCAAACTCCTCCTGTCTGTCCTCAAGGACGTCCGTGCCAAGAGCACACTCACCCCCGATGGACGGAGGACAGACAGACCCAGACTCAGCAACAAGGCTAGCGGCGTAGTCTAGACGACAGGCGGCAGCAAAGTCAACAAGCTCAGCGACTAGAGCAGACGCAGCAGAGGACTCAAAGGAAGGTTCAGTGACAACAGTGGCGAGGAGACGCGTGACAGTAGGACTGGCAGCACTAGCAAGGTCTGACGGCGGGTCAGCAACGTCAGGAAGAGAGGACGCAGGAGGAGACGGCAGAGGGACACGCTGTGGAGCAGTGGAAGGACGCAGAGTCATATAGTGAGTGCCAAGTACAGGAGGAGGACGCTGACGCGGAGCTCGACGACCAGCGCGGACAGCGCGGACAGGCGACTCAGGACGAGCCTCAGGCGACTCAGGACGAGACCTTGGCGACGCAGGACGAGACTCAGGCTCACGACGCTCTGTAAGACCTCTAGTCGGTCCAGCGTAGGGAGAAGGACCAGGCAGTGGAGAGGCAAGCGGTAACTGCGACTGCGACTGGACAGGTGGTGGACTCAGTAGGGGAGGAGAAGGACCAGTGGAGGGCGGGAGGCCAAGAACCTGCTGAAGGAGCGGAACGTAGTACGGCCGCGGCCGCTCAGCACCTCCTGAACCAGCAGAGACAGCACCAGCACCCTCAGCCCCAGGGTCTCCAGCACCAACTCCCGCAGCACCACCAGCAACACCAGCAGCTCCAGTACCTCCAGCTCCAACCCCCGCAGCAGCTCCAGTACCTCCAGTACGAGCACCTCCAGAACCAGCAGCTCCAGCAGCTCCAGCACCAGCAGTACCTCCAGTAGCTCCAGCACCAGCAGCACCTCCAGCACCAGCAGCGCCTCCAGCAGCTCCAGCACCAGTAGCGTCTCCAGCAGCTCCAGCTCCAGCAGCACCTCCAGCAGCACCTGCGCCAGCAGCACCAGTACCAGCACCAGCTCCAGGGTCCGCGGCACCGGCCGCAGCTCCAGCTCCAGGGTCCTCAGCACCAGCAGCAGCTCCAACTCCAGGGTCGGCGGTACCAGCAGCACCACTCCAGAGACTGCAGCGCCGAGCGTACCACTCTCGGAGCCGCTGGGGAGAGGGCAGCTCCCGCCTAGGCGGGGAACCACGAGTACCAGCTCAAGCAGCACCCCTAGCTCCAGAAGCGCCCCTCCTGAGGCTGCAGTACCGCGAGTACCACTCACACAGCTGCTGGGAAGAGGGAGCGCCTCCAGGCGCATCACGGTCAGTCGCAGCAACCCCAGGCTCAGCACCCTCAGACGTAGCACTCTCAGGCTCAACACCTCCAGACTCAGTACCCGCAGGCTCAGCACCCCCAGACTCTGTACCCGCAGGCTCCGCATCCCCAGGCTCAGCACCCCCAGGCTCCGCACCCCCAAGCTCAGCACCCCCAGGCTCCGCACCCCCAGGCTCCGCACGCTCAGGCTCAGCACCCCTAGCAGGACGAGAGTCGACAGCTACCTCGACAGGCTCAACTGGGTCTACCTGGGACACACCTGAGGGAGCGGCACCCTGAGGGGGGAGGGGGTCTACCACAGCAGCACCTGGTGCGAGGAAGAGAGGCGGGGGGGGGAGCGGGGCAGTGCGGTAGGGGAAGAGGCAGTAGTAGGGGACCGACTCGTCGAAAGTGACGTCCTGAGAGGGCAGGACACGGCGCGAGGTGGCGTGGTAAAACTGCCAACCAGACGCGTCCGGGACAAAGCCAAGGAAGACACAAGGAACAGCGCGGGAGGAGAGCTTGTCCGCGGACGTATCGCGAACAAAAGCTCGAGAACCCCAGACCCGGAAACGCGACGCATCGCCAACCTCTCCCGTCCAACGCAGTGTCGGTGAAGTCTCCGGAACGGAGACACGGGGCTAGAGGTTGAGCTGATGCGCAGCGTATCGGACCGCAAACGGCCACAGAAAGTGGGGGGCAGCCGCATGGATCAAGGAGGTACGAGCGACCTCCATGACTAAGCCAATGCGGCGCTCAGCAACCCCATTCTGCTGTGTAGAGGCCGGAAGCGTGAACGACTGCTCAATGCCCTTCCCCTGACAGTAGGCCCTCAAGAGGTCGGAGGAAAACTCCCCACCTCTGTCAGAGTGCAGACGTAGGACAGGAAAGTCCGAGTGGAACCTCTCACTGAGCTGGAGACGGGCAGCGCGGATCCAAGGGATCAAAACATCAGGGACTTCACCCTTGGTGCGCAAGGGGAAGACCGTGGTGTAGCGCGAGTAGTCGTCAACAACTATCAAGAAGTACCTCTCGTGACCCTGTCCACGGACGCGGGCTGGGCCCCACACGTCCATGTGAAGCGTCTGCAGGGGAGCAGTCGTCGGGGGAAACGAGGAGGAGTGAGGAGCGGCGCGCTGCCGCCCCTCGACACAGGGAAGACAGGGAGGAGCAGGCGAGGGTGGGAGGGGAGGGAGAACCCTGGGAAGACCAGAGACAAGGTACCGGGAGTGCATGCCACGAAGGCGCTGCACTGACGGGTGACCAAGGCGGTGGTGCCAGAGGACGGTCTCGTGCGCCAGGGAGCGACACGAGCAGGGGGCCGACAGCTGACCTGACGCAGACGCAGACGCAGCTACCTGAGGGGACTCAGTGGTCAGTGTGTACAGGTCCGACCCCGGCTGCCGAGTGAAGGTAGCCAGGTGGCGACCCGTCCGAGCACACGTGCAGTGTGTCACGCGCTCGTAGGCAGGGGTGAACTGGTGGACACCCCCGTCCTGAAGTGCACTATCTGCCACCAAGTTCGTAGAGAACGAGGGGAGGTAGAGACCTGATAGTGTGCCCGACGGGACCGCATGACAAGGGAGGACAGTGGAGGAGGTCGCAATGACCGGACCCCCAGAAGGGTCAGCGAGGGAGACAGCAACCGGCCGAGCAAGCTGCTCTAGGGCAGTGCGGTCACGAAAGAAACAGCGAGAAGCACCTGAGTCCAGTGTGAAAGTGTGCAGTGCCTCAGTAGACTCAGTACCAGAGGGCGCAGACTCACGAGCACCTAGAGCAGCATCCTCACCAGTACCTGGGGCAGCAGACACGCGAGCACCTAGAGCGGCAGTCTCACCAGCACCTGAGGCAACAGACGCACTAGCACCTAGAGCGGCAGCCTCACTGGTCCGAATGCCCGGATCGGGCGGAACACACAGGTACTGGTAACTCTCTCCACTAGCAGACAACAAATACATGGCACCAAGAATAGCATCAAAGTCAAGAGCATAGACATCAATGTTCTTCCTTAGCAGATCAGCCCAGCGGGGCAGCTCAGTGGCAGCAGGAAACTGAGTGCGCCAGGCGTCGTCGAGGCGGGAGAAGCAGCGCTGCGTGGTGTGTGCCCTCCCACACGTCTGACCAGTGCAGTCACCTGTGCGGATGACGTACGTGCAGCTAAGGCCACCCCCCCCCCCATGCTGAGAGTACCACTCACGAAGCTCCTGGGGCGACATGGTGTGCTGCTGGCGCTGGCCACCGCCAGCGCCTCCACGACCTCCACCGCCGCCGCCACCACCTCGACCACCACCGCCCCTGCCGCCACCGCGTCCACTGCCGCCACCACCACCGACCCCACCCCGGCCACCTCCTCCGCCGCTGCCGCCACCACCCCCACTGCTGCCACTAGCCCCTCCAGCCCCGCCACCACCCCCACCGCCGCCACCGCCCCCACCACCGCCTCCCCCGCCGTCACCGCCACCTCCCTTGCCCCCTTTGCCCTTGCCGCTGCGGCGCCAACTCGGAGTGGACGCAGTCCCGACCTCCTCAGTACCAAGGAGGTCGACAGCAGCAGCAGAGGCGACAGAGGGGAGAAGGGGGGAAGGGGAACACCCCTCGAAGAGAGGGGTGCGGGGGTCGCCACGAGAGGCACCTACGGCGACTATGCTAGCCTCAGCTGCAAGCAGTTCCTTCTCGAGCAGATAAACGGTGAGCTCAGTGGGGCAGCGAGCGAGGAAGTGGTCCCTGACCGCACGAAGAGAGTCAGGGAGACGGGTGACCAGGTGGTAGAGAGTGAGCCACAGCGGGGGGGGGTTCTTGGCAAGAAACTCAGCGGGCATAGCGGCACGGAAACGGGCCTCACTAGTGCGGAGGTGCGTGATGAGGTCAGCGACTGTGGAGAAGGCGGACAGGTCTGGGAACAGGTAGGGGAGCGAGAGACGGCCTAGCGCAGCAGAGGCAGGCGAGGAGTAGCGTGCAACTACAGCAGTGTACAGTGCCTGCGCAGTTTTGTGCTGGCCAAAGTGCTCGCGCTCATCTATCGGCAGGGAGTTGCGAATAGCGAAGCGAGTGTGGGCGTCACGAGTCTGCCACTGTGAGCGGGCAGTACTGTCAGCAGTAGCAGCAGGGGCAACAGCGAGTCCTAGCGCGTGATCGTACAGCGAAATATCCCCCTTGGCAGTGAGCTGGAGGAACAGGTGCAGGTCATCGAGCCAGGTGTCAAACTTCAGTGGGCGGCCCTCAGCATCAAAAGCGAGCACAGCAGGGCTAGCCATAGTTGCAGTAGGAGCAGTAGTAGCAGTAGCAGCAGGAACAGCAGTAGCGTGACAGCAGCAGCAGCGCGGCTCGGTAGGGCGGCGCGGCTCGGTAGGGCGGCGCGGCTCGGTTGGGCGGCGCGGCTCGGGTGGGGCAGGGCGCTAGCGGGGCTGCAAGGGCAGGGCTACGCGGTGTGGGGCACGCGAGGGCGTGCAGGGCAGAGCGGGGCCGGGCTAGCGCGGGGCACGAAAAGGGCGGGCTAGCGGGGCGGGGCCTGGTCGCGCGGGGCACGCAAGGGCGGGCTAGCGTGGCGGGGCCGGTACACAAGGGGCACGCAAGGGCGCGTGGGTGGGGCAGGTCTGGTCGCACGGGGCACGCAAGGGCGCGCGAGGAAGGGCGGGGCCGGATCGTGAGGAGCGCGCAAGGGCGCTCGGGGTAGCGAGCGCGCGGGGCCGCACGAGGCACGCAAGGGCGTGCGCGGGGCAGGCGACGCGCGTGGGGCTGCGCGGGTCGCACGCGAGGGCGTGCGAGGAGGGCGAGGCCGATCGCGTGGGGCACGCTAGGGCGTGCGGGCTGGGTGGTGCCGGTTCGTAAGGGGCACGCTAGGGCGCGCTATAGTGCAGAAGAGAGGAGGGCGCTCGAGGGCGCGACTAGGCGAGGCGCGCTCGGGCGCGACTAACGGAAACGGTGGGCCCTATCAGTCGGTCCTAGGTTACGACCTAGGCTCGTAATACCATGTTAGAAACTAAGAAAGAACGAGAATGATGAACTAGAAAGGAATGGGAGTACAAGTACCAAACCCTAGAGTAGTGTACCCCCTAAAGGCTAACCCACTGTAGCCTACACAACTATAACATATATAATGTTTGACAATTTCGACCCCTAATCTTCCTAGACTCCTTCCTTAATCCTAACACCAAGTACTTAGCTACCCTCACAGCTGCCGTCCAGTGAGCAGGACGGTGTCTCCCGGTCGCAACAAAACAAGCCAAGATGCTTAGAAGATAAGGGAGGTCCGGATGAATACATGTCATCAGGTACATGAGGCAACCCACTAGCTTTCCACAGGGACCACTAGACCCAAACGGCTTATCAGGAACAGGAGCGGTGAGCACGTGGTCAACAATAAGAGGAGCGGGCTGTGCGTTAGAGAACTGAAACCCGAACCGCTCAAGAACCTACTGCACCATGTGTGACTGAGTAAGTGTGATGGTGCGAGCGGCTCGGTCCCTGGTGATATGCAAGCCAAGGTAGCGGCGCAGTCCACCAAGGTCAGTGCACATACGCCTGTTCTGCAGTTCGCTAGTTATATTATAGACGAGGAGTGTACGTTGGCGGCGGAAGAACGGAAGGACCACTTTCTTCCCTGGTCGAACCAAGCATTTCCAAAGTAGTCCGCTAAGCCCCAATTCCAGCAACCCTCCCCTTCCCCTTTTTACTACTGCACAGCAGTAGGAGCCTAATCATGGCAGTGGGGTTGGTGAAGGAGGGGAGAAGGGGAAAGGGAAACGAGTGGTGAGCCTATAGAGGGAGAAGGGGGCTTCAAGGGGAAGTGCCACGTGTGTGGGAAGCAAGGGCATGTCGCTAAGCATTGTTGGTAGCGGCCAGAAAAGGAGGTGGACAAAGGTGGAGAGGGTTCTGGAGGCAGCAGCGCAAGCAACAAGGGAGGTGATGGCTCTAAGGGGAGGGGGCGGTCATTATGTGCAATGGTGAATCCCGTTGCTGAGCATCCTCCTTGGTTTTGCTGGAGCCTGAGGCCGGAGAGGGCTTACAAGCTGTTGCAGCTGCTGTGAAAGCGAACCTAAGTGTTGTTATGCTTGACAGTGAATGCTCCCATCACCTTTTGGGAGATCGTTCTGTTGAATGTACGTCGTCTTGAGTGCATGGCATCCTAACATCCACTCACCATTGCTTCGTATTCTACACGCCATCCGACTTGAGCCGGCCTGAATGTGTGTGCCGAATATATGCGAAGTGGTTCTATGCCTTTTTTTTGTTTTTTTCTTTTTTTTTTTTCTTTCTAACTCCTCTTCTCTCGCTACATGTCATGCAAAATGATGCAGAGCATGGCGTACCTGATCGCCCAATTGTGGGTAGTTTGAAACCCATGGCACATGCAAACCGTAAATGTTGGGCAAAAGGATCGCAAGTTTGAGGAAATATCAGGTCTGAGGTACGGTGTGCTGTAGTGGGGGCAACGAGGTAGATAGAGGAGGAGGGAGGCACTACGGTGAAGTGCGGTTGAGGGATAAAATTTATTTGAGGGGGGTGATCTCAAGATGAGGGGAATCAAATAAGTGTGGGGGATAGAAGGAGGGTAGGGGGATGAGCTAAATATGATGGCATCAATGGTGTGGTGAACGGGAAGAAACAAACGCATGTTGGAGGTTGATTTTATTATAATGTAAAGGAAACGATATCAACGGTGAGATGAGGAGGAGGATATAATAGGTGAGATGAAATAAAGGACAAGGTACAGGAAATGAAATTAGTGGGAGGTGAG